GCCTGGTTTGACAAAAGTTGCTGTTGGTGAGTGCTTTACTTTTTCTATCTCTTCACTAGGGTGATTGCTTTGATTCTTTTAAGGTAATCGAAATACAAACAAACTTGTGCACTGCAGAGGGGCAGCCTGAAAGTATAGTCCAAGAAATTGAAAACATGGTTCGCACCTATGTTGACAAGGTAATGCAGCATCATCTTCTTGTTTCTATATTTGGATTGATCTAGTACTGTAGGATAAATCCTTAGGCATTTTGCAACTAGTTGGCTATTATTTCTTTGCGTTGTGTGTCAACTTGTCTATGCTTTCAACTCAACCTATAGTTCTATACTGTCATGCCATTATTATCCTGTTCTAATGTGTACTAGTTACTACTTATGTGATCACACTGCATCAGTTACATTCTGAATTATTTATTGTTCTTACACATGGCTTTGTAGCCAAACTGCATAATACTTGCAATATCCCCAGCCAATCAGGATATTGCCACATCAGATGCAATAAAACTTGCGAGGGAAGTGGATCCATCAGGTATATTGATTGTGAATCTTCGTGCCATTCTGTACCTGCAATATGTCATTTATTATTATTATTATTATTATTATTATTATTTAAAGAAAATTGTGTTCATTCATACAGGGGACCGAACATTTGGGGTGCTTACAAAGCTAGATCTGATGGATAAAGGAACTAATGCTTTGGATGTGAGTGCTCTCTTTCCACACCCCCTCTCCCCAACCTTTTTCTCCCAAACACCCCATTTTTAAGACTCTTTCTAGTTTTCTGTTTGTTCTTTAAATTTGGTGTGCATACAAAGCTAACTTGATGTATAAATGAACCAATGCGGGCATAGGGTTGAGTTCTCTGTTCCTCTTCTATAATCTCTCGAGAGCTTCTTTTCTAAGTTTTTTGTTGGCACTTATATAGGATTAGAGCATTTGCAGTTCAGTTAAATCTGTTCTGTTTTTGTAAATTATATACTGCTATTGACCACCAAATATGTAATCCTTCTCATTACTAAAGTTGCTTTCTTGTTACTTAAGGTTCTTGAAGGAAGAGCTTATCGCTTGCAACACCCTTGGGTGGGTATTGTAAACCGTTCCCAAGCTGATATAAACAAAAATGTTGATATGATCGTTGCAAGGAGAAAGGAACGTGAATATTTTGCTACAAGTCCTGAATATGGGCACCTCTCGAGTAAAATGGGTTCAGAGTACCTGGCAAAGCTTCTCTCAAAGGTGTGTTCTGGGGTGTCTTTCTAAAACCCTCTAATAGACATGTATCCATTATTTGCACAAAGTGTAGATCTGTGAAATACTGTTAACATCTTGATTTCAGCATTTGGAGTCTGTAATAAGAGCAAGAATACCAAGCATTACCTCTTTAATAAACAAAAGCATTGATGAACTTCAGTCGGAACTGGACCACCTTGGTAGGCCTATTGGGGTTGATGCAGGGGTCAGTTGCTTTCTTCTCTTTCAAGTTTCATCATTATTATTCTTATAATTGAGTGACATTCTTACTTATTCAGTGACTAAAATTTTTATTCAGGCTCAACTCTACACTATATTGGAACTATGCCGTGCCTTTTTCAAGATATTTAAGGAGCATCTCGATGGAGGGTATGCAACTTAAAATTTCCATTTTCACTTGATACCCTTGCTTTCACCATCTGTGGAGCATAGAAGTACTCCGTATTTTACTAGCCAAATTACAAAATATAATGAATTTGAGAATGAAAACGACTGGATTACACTTATAAGGCGTTGCAGGGAAATTGACTACACGATTGCTCACCACCAATTGTGTAGTTGTGCAAAAGCCTGTGAGGCTATTGTTAGCATTAGTCTCATTGAGATAAATTTAAAGAGTCTAGTAGTTGACTTTGTATAGACCACAAGGCATGATCTGTTATTAGTTGTATGTCTATTTACCTATGGTCACTGTTTTCTTTCCTGTTGGTTTGCATATCTAGTTCTATTGCTGACCCACATTTGAATTTGTTACCTACATCAGCCGGCCAGGTGGTGATAGAATCTATGGGGTTTTTGACAATCAGCTTCCTGCAGCTTTGAGAAAACTTCCATTCGATCGCCATCTATCTATTCAAAATGTGAGGAAAGTTGTTTCAGAGGCAGATGGTTACCAACCTCACTTGATTGCCCCCGAGCAAGGTTATAGACGGCTTATTGAGGGAGCTTTGAATTATTTTAGAGGCCCAGCTGAAGCTTCAGTAGATGCTGTAAGTGTTAATTGTACTTTTAGTTTATTGGAGTCAATTTTTGTGTGTATATTTATTTATGTGCTGTATTAAATATTAATCTTCTAAACCTGTAGCTTACCTATTCAATAAATATCAGGTTCACTTTGTTCTGAAGGAACTTGTGAGGAAGTCAATTGGGGAATGTCAGGTAAACTCTGTCTCTCTATCTGTGTGTGTCTGTATTTATTGTTTTTCCTGCTCTAAAGGGTTACAAGAGGCATTGCTTATCAGGTTTATTTATGTTCTTCCCACTTTTAACCCTTCCTATCCTTTTCTAACTTCAATGATGGAATAGGAGTTGAAGCGGTTTCCTAGTTTGCAAACTGCAATAGCTGCAGCTTCCAATCAAGCCTTGGAAAAGTTCCGTGAGGAAAGTAAGAAGACAGTAGTTAGACTTGTTGACATGGAAGCTGCCTACCTGACAGCTGATTTCTTCAGGAAACTTCCCCAGGAAGTGGAGAAAGGGGGAAAAGCAGCTGCAACTACAACAGTGGACAATTATTCAGAAGGTCACTTTAGGAGGATAGGGTCAAATGTATCATCTTATGTCAATATGGTATCAGACACTCTCAGGAACACTATTCCCAAAGCAGTGGTTCACTGTCAAGTGAAGGAGGCCAAACAGTCTTTACTGAATCACTTCTACACACGTATTGGGGGGAAAGAGGTACATTTCTTCCCCTTTTTTGGTGATTTAAGACTATGTCTGATTATACAACTGCAATAAAATCAAATGGCTTTAAATGAATAAAGACTTGACTTTTTGAATTATTTTTTTTTTAACCTTGGAACTTAAAAAATGGTTTCCAAGGTTCCTGAATTCTAACATTTCAACAAATTTAGCAAGAATCTTTAATAGTCAGGATGGAAACTGTTAAATCTGGCCAAAATAATCCAAACCAGGACTCTCCTCTCCCTCCTCTCAGTCACTCTCCAGACTTTCTGTACACTCAGCCATGGCTTCAACTATGTTTTCTCTCTTGGGCCATCCTCACTTGTTGCTCTATCACCTGCCATGGCTCCACCTTGCCATTTCTCAACTTCAGTCTATCTCCCTCCCACTCATTTATTTGTTCACGGTTGAACCTTCAATATACCACTGTTTAGCAGATATATGCATGCAGAACAGTGCCTCTGGTTTACAATCTAAGTTATTAACCATTAAATGCAAGCTTTCATTCTGAGTACATAACAAGCATTCCATTGTTAACTGGCATATGTGGCCGAGAATTTCACAGAACTTCCAATTTGAGTAAGCATACTCATCACGGTTCCACTCTTCGACTACATCTACTTAGGTTCAACCATCAGTGAATGGATGATGACTGTGGTCTTAGTTAACATCTAACTATGCCAACGCATTTATGTTAACTCAATCTAAGAATTATCAGTTTTGTCATCGCTTGTCCCATAGATCAACTGGAACACCATACTACATACCATGTATGTTCTTGTTGCATAGTCATGCTAAAAGCTTTTTATATGCCCCAGGGTAAGGCACTTGCAGAGTTGCTAGATGAAGATCCAGCATTGATGGAGAGGAGACAGCAGTGTGCCAAGAGGCTTGAACTGTACAAGAAAGCAAGGGATGAGATTGACTCTGTATCATGGGCTCGATGATATTAGTGAACGTTGTAGATGCCGGTATGATATTTCAGTTCGTGATCTGCATGAATCCAGATTGTTGCTGAATCTCACTTGTTCTGCGTTGTAATTACTTTGTTTGGTGTGTAGTGTTACTCCCGTTTAGATGCTGACAGACAACTGATACATTTGTCCTTAGTTTTGACAGCACTCCTGATGCTTTGTTCAATGAGTTATTTGGCTATAAATAGAATGGTTTGTGCATATCTCTGCCGTACATACTATTGTGACGAAAGAATAATGGATTTTTTTAGTCCTCTCATCCCCAGTAATTACATGGCCTCCCTCACTCCCTGTGCCGCCGGCTTTACCTTCTAAGGCCTTGTACTACAAAACATTTCATCATAGACTGCATAGTTCTCTTGAAAAAGAACATGACACTGCTCGTCATTGTGCAGGTTGCTAACTTGTGTCACCTGCAAGTTTCTAGACTCAACACTAAATTGTATACTTCTGCACGCAATGAGTCCAATTCAAATCTAAATCTTCAATGCTCGTAATAGAATTGAACCCCCACCTGCCAACATCCTACTTCTAGAAATAAATCTTAAAGTAAGACTTCTCATCCACTAGACGAATGCGATTGGACTCTAAAACGTTATTCTCTTAATAAAACTTTTTACCTTCTGAAAAATTAACACGTAGATGCTACTCCTGCAATAGTGCAATAATGAAGGGCAAATTATTCTGTAGACCTGGGTTTAAAATACACAATTTACATACGGAATGTTCACAATTTACTACTACAATAATGTAATAATAATGAAGGGCAAATTATTATGTGGACTCGGGTCCAAAATACAGAATTTATATACTTAATATTTACAATTTTGTAAAAAGTAAATTATGAACATTTAATATGTAAATTGTGAACATTAAGTATGTAAATTGTGAACATTCAATATGTAAATGGTGTATTTTGGACCTGGGTCCATCTTGCAAGGTGGACCCTGGTCCGTGATATACTTGGGGCTTTTCTGCAGAGCCCAACAGAGATTTGGGCTAAAGCAACCAAAATCCTGTCGACCCATTTTAATCCCGACAATTGACCCGATTATTTTTTAACCAAATTTCTTAAAACCCTCTTCTCTAAGAACATGGCTTCCATAGCTCCATATCCAGCTGAGTGCTTAGTGAAGAAAGGGAATGAGTCTGTTACAGCTATGGCAAATTCCTTCATCCTCGTTCCCAAAACGTATTCGTCTCCCTCTCACTGTCTCTCTCAAATACATGTATAAGCACTCTTACATATACGCTCGTGCATGTATAAACAGACATACATGTGCAGAAATCTCGTATGATTTCAGTGTTTATGTTTCGGGAATGCTCTTTTGGGGTTCTAAATTCATTTCAATATTCGCTTAATTTTGTTTGTTTGTTTTTGGCTTGGTGTCAGTGGTATTTGATACCCAAACTCCAGCTGAGAAAGTTTGTTTTTTTACCCCTCCATTTCTGTACCAATTTGATAGTGTAAATGCATTCATATTTCTGTTGCATAGTGGTTCTCACTCTTCTTGTCATTCTAATGAATGATTTTGCCTCCAATTACAGTAGGTCTGCGTACAGTTCCTGGGAGAGTTATGCATCCAATGACATGCTTGTGTAAGCAAGTGCAAACTACTGCTTATGAAATTGTGAATGGCAGCTATATTCCTAGTCATGATTCCAAACTGGATAGCGACAAAGTAAGCATCTTTCTGAACCATTGTACGAGAACAAAGGTTAAATGTCCACATGCTTCAATCCAAAGCATGCAGGAGAGTGTAAAATTATGGATTTTGCAAGGGAATTATTGGCCTCCCAGCTCACCTGCAATCATATTTCTTGCTGGCTTCTAAGTTTCTGCCAATGACACCTTGAACAATGTTAGCCATTAGGGCATCTATTGCTTCCTAAGACTTTAGAAGCAATGTTTATGCAAACCTCTTATCTGCCTTAATTTGGCTGCTGACCTACTCTACTGGGGTGTTCTTGACATTCGAATTATATGCAATCTCTCTTTTGTTTCAGGTACAATCAAAAGCTACAGTAGAAAACACTGGTGCCTTTAGAAAGCTACCCATGGTAATGCCATCAATAGATATACTATATTCAGCACTGAGGAAAGCAAAGAGGGTTTCACCTACAAAGGGTAGTTTCTGTACATGCATGCTAATTTTAACATTAGGCACCAACTGGATTTTAAAAAATAGATAACAAGAAAGTTTTCATGGTACTTAGTTTTCGTGTTTAAACAGGCATTGCAAATATTGCCAAGCGAGAGAGAAATCGGGGGGCAAAACAGCTTGATGCGTTACTGAAGGTAATTTTTTTTTTTTTTTTTAATAAGAATGTACATATGATACTTGTGCTTTTGCTTGTCTCAAATGAAAGAAATGGATTATTTCATATTAACATTTTGCTTGTATATTTCCACCTGCAGGAGCTTGCTCTTCCATTGAGGACGTATAAGGAGACTTTCCCAAGAAAAGAATATTTGCACCCTTATGAAAGATCTTTGATTGAGTTGACACTTGGAGATGGAAACTATGAAGCGGTAAAGCTTCAAATACGCCTCAAGTTTTGTATGGTTGACTGGAGCATGCATATTTGTCCTTATTCATCTTGGTCTTATAGCTATTATCATTGGCAGGCATTGGGAAAGATTGAAGCATTAAGGAAGAAGGTGGTATCAGTTGGAAAAGAACATGCCTCTCTCTGTGCCAAGGTAGAAGTCTTTTCTTTCACCAGATAACCACTTTGCCTCTCTTGCTGCCCCTACATCTTTTATCCTTGTATACCCTGGGTAGATTAATTTCATAAGTTGTCTGGATGAACGCCTGGTTTACTCTTTTCAGATTGAATATAATATGTAATCTCCTGCATTTGTAATTGGAAAAATTGTACTAGGTGTTAAAGATAGATAGTGCTTAAAATGTTCAGATTCAGGAAATGGTGCTATCATGTTGAAGTTCTGCAGAAGAAGTTTAAGGTTTTGGATAATGAAAAGAATATAATTTGTTGTTTTGATATGTCCTGAACTGCTAAAAGCATGGGGCAGTTTAGCAGATATGGGGATTCAAATGAATGTTGATGGATTATGAAGTATGAACTACACGACATGCATAAAATATACCATCTTTTTAGTTGTGCTAAACAGGTACAATATCCTATATGCATGTCTTATTAGAGAGTTGCACTGATGGGTGGGGGAATTGATGATATAATAATCCATTGGAAGTTTCTTGACACCTATTTTCTCTCACTATATTAATAGGTTAATTTTGTTTTTTTTTTTCTTCTTCAATTTACCATGCATTGTCCTTTTTCCCAATTTCATCTCTACTGGTAGGTTTCAAGCTAAATTATCACATACTTTGCAGTCAATGTCAAAGCGTGAGGCAGAGGAGCGATTGAGTGAGGTGAACAACTATCTACACTTTGAATGAGACTTGTTCATGTAATGTAGATAATTATCAGGATTATGATATAATATACAGGGAATGAAAAAACTTGAAGAAATTTTTCAAAGTGAAGGAAAGGCTGTCGACAAACTGTTGGACATTGCCAAGGTAAGAGGTTGTAGAAAACATGAAATGCGTGGTAGGTTACTCTTATCATGCAAATAATGTTCAGGTTCTCATCACACATCATTTCCTGTTCCATTTATTTGACTTGATATTTTAAAGTAACTCTCTTGACTTGAAGATGGTTGCAATATATGTTCTAAATTAAGAAACCTCACAATTTGCCTTTCTCTGACTATTACTTTGGGCTGTAGACATTGCGAGCAATGCCAGTTATTGATTTGGAAACACCAACTCTTTGTCTTGTTGGGGCTCCGAATGTAGGAAAATCATCTTTGGTTCGTATACTTTCAACAGGGAAACCTGAGGTATGCACTCCATAGGTCTCTTTGTTTTATGAACACTGTCCAGTATCCTAACTGTTAGAAATGGTCTTTTGCTATGACAGCAAGTGCCTTGTCCTTCAGGTAGATATAAGAGCTACTCTGATTTGGTCCTTCGGGAAGCTCTTATTCAGTCATTTGGTCCTTCTACTTCTATTCATGCGATTCAATACTTATATACTGCTATATTTTAAAACAAGAAATAATGCAAAATTAGTGTAATTCGAATGTATTTACTTATGGGTCTGATATCTGAAGTTAAATCTAAATGGACAACTGAGTATTTCTGTTGCATATAATTTAGATCTGCAATTATCCATTTACAACTCGAGGAATTTTAATGGGCCATATTACATTGAGCTACCAGAATTTTCAGGTTTGCCATTGTCTCGAATGCTAGTATATTTTACCCATATTTCCATGCATTTCTTCTACAATTTCACTTACAGTATTTTTTGTCTTCAGGTCACTGATACCCCTGGTATCTTGAGGAGGCATGATGGTATGACTCAGGTCTTTATGTTTTTTTTTTTTTTTTTTTTTTTAACAAAAAACAAAACTTTATTAAGCAAAGGAATTAAAATGTCTTACAACTGATGGTCCAAAAGTGACCATAACACATACTCAGCCCTTGTGATTGGGCCTATACTAATATAAAGAAACTAAGATAAAGGATGGACTCAAGCCCTAACAGGCCAGGCCTAAAGAATGCAAGAGGCAAAAATTTTGTTTTACTATCCAACGAGTTTGTTGTTAATGACTTAGTAAATAACGTGAAGCTAGATTTTGCCTTAGTAGTTTTAGTTTTGTATTTTATTTTCCTCGACTGAATCTGCAGAGGACAGGAACAATTTGGAAAAGTTGACGCTTGCTGTTCTCACTCACTTGCCAACTGCTGTACTCTACGTCCATGATTTATCTGGGGAATGCGGGACATCACCTTCTGATCAGGTGTATTGCGTATTTCAGACTTTTTGATATGGGAAATATTCAACCTAGCCAAAATGCTCGTTAATTCTTATTGATAAACTCTAGGAAATTATCTGTTCTTCAATGGGTTATTTTCCAAGGTTGATTGCTTTTCTTTTCTGGTGCAGTTTGCGATTTACAAGGAAATAAGAGCCCGGTTTAGTGATCATATTTGGCTCGACGTTGTCTCTAAATGTGACTTGCTGCGAGAATCTCCTGTCATCTTTGTAACAGAAGATGGTAAAGCCGATGACTCTGAGCTGGCGAGGTATCGGAAAATGGGACCTGATGGAGCGTTACACGTGTCAGTAAAGAACGAAGTCGGGCTTGATGATGTTAGTACCCTGTTCCCCTTGCATATATAGATATAGACACAAATGAGCATTTTCCTAGGATGTCTATCATTTTAAAAACCAATGCGTGGTCCTCGATTAACTCCAGCATTTTCGTTTTGGCTCTTGCAGTTAAAGAGCAGAGTCCATCATCTCCTTATCTCTCAATCAGCAAGGATTAAAACCCACAACAGCAATCAAGAAGACCTCGGGAGTCCCCAGATAGTCGGTTTGTGAACTCCCGAGAAACACATCCTTGTATATTCCAGCAGAGCCTCCGGCTCCAAGGCCGACAACTAACATCCTCAACAGATTATGCAACCATGAAGCCCTCGGTCCTCCCGATCCATACCTGTTGCCAAGAACGCAGTTTTGACAAGATTGTGAGCAGTGTTGGTGCCAGATTCTTGCCGGGCATAAATCTAACATTTTTTTAACCAAAAGAGGAAGATAAGATATGCTGCATTGTGATCTCTTTTGACACTGGATTTGATACTGCACTCGATTGGTAAACATTCAACTAGTTCTCCACCGTCCAAGCCCACCCACGACAGCTGTATGTGGAATCGGATTCTATTCTTCCATGTTTGTTCCCACCATTTCTATATAGTTAAATCTTTCTTTCTTTCTGCATAGCTTCAATTCCATAGGTTTAGATTCGTGACGTTTTTCAGTATCGATTCCTATAGCAGGTGACAATGAGAGCAACACACCACTTGAATGGTGCTTCAAATCTCTGAACTTGCAGTTTACCGCTATTCACTCAAGAAGTTGCATTCATATTCATTGTTTAAGGGTTTTTTTTTTTTTTTTTTTTTTCGGGGCAAGGGAATCCAGGCCCCGAAATGCATTCATATTTACTTTAACATTAAGATAATAATTGAAATATCTTAGGGCATCTACAATAGATGGTTTTTAGCTGATTTTTTGTGGGGGCCAAGCATCGGTGAAAGAGAGAATAATAAAAGTTTTCCTCTAAAAACCTTGGTTTTTCATTTTAAAGTGTGCCCTACCAACACTAAAAAAGGTTTTGCTAGTTCGTGTGAGGGCAATCAAAGCGTCCAACCGGGTGCATGCACACCACACGTTCGCAGGGCGTGTTATTTCATTTGCTGTTTTTTTTTTCTTATTTTCTTTCCCTTCCCATGTTTTCTCTCCTAGTCATCTCTGCAAAAATTTCCATCTAATGAGGATGCTTTTACAATCTTAATACTACGTAACTTAGAAGTGACAGACATAGTCAAATGTGCATCAAACACATACAGCCCCAAATGTAACCACCCACAAGAATGTCTATATGGTCAAGCAGCATAAAATTTAGTATTTATGCATTCAAGTGAGAATCACCTCTCAGGTGAAACGTGTCAATTACTAGCACACAATCTAATATTCCAACACAGTGAGCACACAATGTACACAATTTATCTGAAGTAACAAGATTGTATTCATTATATTGACACGTTCTTAGTTAAGAGTGGTTCTCACGCATTAGCTATAATTTTAACTCTTTTTTTAAAGGTCTCCAATTATAATTAGCCTCTGCTTGATGACAAACGAGACTAATAAACCAACTTCTTCGCGGTAGCGGGAAATGGCAGTTAGCTTTCAGACACTGTCGCGACGGTCGTCCCTATAAATACACGCAGCAACGTCTTCGGCAAGTAGCTCTCCATTTCCTTCCCATCTCTTTCTCCTCGTTAGGTACACTTTAAGCTCTTTCTCTATGCTACTTGAATATCTTATTGCTCAAGCAAGCAATCTCCCCATCTGTTACGATCTCATTAGCTTGTTTTTGAGCACACTTTTTAATCCAATTTTGTAGATTCTATATGCTGTTTTGCTGTAAATGTGATATTTTTTGCCTTGATTTGTTCTGTGATTTGAGTGCTGTTGTTGAATTTCGCGCTCTGTTCACTGTATGATGGTTTGGATATAGCTTGAATGTTACCGTGTTGCAGGAAGGTTTCTGTATTGAAGAGTCCAAAGAGTTTGCGTGCAATAATTGGATAATTAGTTTGTTTCTGTCGAGATTTCCTTGTAATTTGAAGTGTTGGAAGGGCATATTGCTTACTAAACACCGGTTACTTGGCATTCATGGCGACATTCCGTGATTCTGTAAAGAAGGTACCTTTGAGATGGTACCACGACTTCAGTTTTCTTACCCCTTTTTGTTACTTGAATTAGAAATATTCTTAATGACTACCTCTATTTGCTCTAGACTATTTGATTGAGTATTGCTGTATTGAGGGGTTTTTTTGTTTTTTTTTGTTTTTTTTTTGTTTTAATGCTGTGACCCCCCACCCCCTCCCCCAGGTATCCGGTAACCACATTGAGTTCCGACCAATCCAGAGTCAAGCTGGCGGTGGACTCCATTCAAAGGGGAGCTCATTCAATGGATGTTGCTCAATTCAAAAGGTTTGAACTTAATACTTTGTTTAATGTTAACTAAGCTCCTTCAGTTTGGACTGTTGGTCATTGGTATTGAGTATTGAGTTTAAGAATACTTGCTGGATGGATTCTGAATTGGACCTTGTAGTTGAATTCTCTCTCTCCAACTGTTACCATTTAAAGTGAACAAAGTTGATATTACTTTTCTGTGAAAGTTATTCCATCAGCCATTCCTCTAGCATAGGATGCTTTATTTGCATTCTCCAGTGCTTGCAGCTTGAAGAATGAAAAGCTTGAAATTAGAATAAGGAAATGATGGTTATTCAAAATCAATTTAAGAAGAATGATTAGATCAATCACTTATCAAAACAATGGAATGGTTTAGATCACTTCAATCTTTACATCTCTAATCTGGTTTTCTTTCAGTTAGTGACTTACTGACTTTGAGTTTGTAATTTTTGCCAATGGCTGACTGCTAGCTGGTTGGTTGCAAACAAAAGTATTCATGGATTAAATTCACAAATGCTATCTATCTTTGCAAAATCAGCAAGAAATAAAAGCATTCTGTTAGATGCTAATCATGTTATTGCAGTTACTGATGCACATTTAAATTTGTTTAGAATCATTGGCATGCTTTTAAATCTCTAAACTACAGTTGACAAACAAGGTCTGATTGCAGGGAGTAAATGGAAGCCTCCCACATAACAAAAAGGTTAAGGTTGTCTTTGTCCTGGGTGAGTGCCTCAATTCCAAATTTCAATATTTAGCCATGGGGCAACTCCAACCAAGTTGGTCGGGCTGTTGACTTAGTAACCATAAGGTTACAAGTTTGATTCCCATATTGGCCTTTTTGGTTTGAACCGGACAACTATAGGCCACCTAGGCTAATTTACTTGTAGTCCTTTGCTAGTTAGGGTCACAAGGCGTTTACCCTATGCACACCATCGGATAGTGGCTGCGAGTTTCCTCCGTCATTCAAAAAAATATATATTTAGCCATCCATCTTTATGATACAAATTATGTTAGAAGTGTCCTTGACTGGATATGTTACTTGCTCACCTAGTATTCTCTTTTCTCTGACCATAATAGGTGCTCTCTATTAGAACCTGCCATGATAATAAATAAGCATTTTTTAATTCTTTCAATTTTAGGTTATGTGGATTGGAGACTTTGAGTATACTTCCCTTAGCACATCCCTGTCACAGCTATCAATTGACTTTAATGCAGGAGTATCCCAGAAAGAGAAATTATATTAAAATTTGTGTGGTATGGTTAGAATTTCTGAAATGGTACATGTGGCAAAGAGCCACCACCCCACCTCTAGGTGCAGTGGAAGCAATAAGAAAGTGTTACGTACTATATAATTAAGTGTTTGCTTGACTCACAACTTTATTAAAATTTATTTACTATAAAAAACATAAGTTGAGTCAAACACTATGTAAAAATAAATAAAAATGCTGCTTTTAAAGTCAAATAAGAAATAAAATGCTCTTTTTTTTTTTTTTTTTTTTTCCTAAAAAGGTGCTTTTAAAAAAATCCTATTTTTCTAATATTCCTAACTTGAATTTAGGCTACCATCCTAATCTTAGTTTAGGGAGACTCTCAAGTCTTAACTATTCTAACACTATCAATATTTTTTGGGATATTACTTAAAAGCACCAAGTCTAAAGAGCATACACCAACCATTTCATGCTGTCAGTATTTTCCTTGCACTAGATGCATGATCTTCTTCTGCATGAAAAAAGCACAATCCTTGACTGCTGGCCAGGAGTCTTGGGGTTTGCCTATATTATTTTCTTGAGTATGCTTATTCTTTTGACTTCAATAGTTTCCAACCCTTGACAGGAGGCCCAGGAAGTGGCAAGGGTACTCAATGTGCAAAGATTGTTGAACATTTTGGTTACACCCATTTGAGCGCCGGGGATCTCCTTCGAGCAGAGATCAAGTCTGGTTCTCAAAATGGGTATTGTATTTAATCATCTTGGGTATCTTATGTTATTGGATACACTGATACTATTTTCTTTGAAACACAATAATTTGATTTCTGATTAACAATTGGTTAAACTGCACCTTCTGTTTGCCTATTTTTATTCTGCTAAACAGCATTAGCAAAAGTGTGAGCTTATTCTGCTAAACATATTGATCATTGAGCTTGTTCTGTTGTGTTTTGTTCTTTAACACAGTTTATTTACTCCAATTAAGTTGTCTCCTTCACACATATAGGATCATGATTCAGAGGATGATTAAAGAAGGAAAAATCGTTCCTGCTGGGGTAACAATTGCCCTTCTCCAAAGAGCAATCCAGGAAACTGAGAATGATAAATTTCTTATTGATGGTTTCCCTCGCAATGAGGAAAACCGTGAAGCTTTTGAACGTATTGTAAGTTACTCGGGAGATGTATTTTTAATTGAATCATTCCTAGCTGCATCACATGTTTGCTCCAATTAATCTGAAAGCGTATTTGATCTTTGCAGACTGGAATTCAGCCAGATTTCGTACTCTTCTTTGATTGTACTGAAGAAGAGATGGCGAGGCGCCTTTTGAACCGGAACCAGGTCTGAAATATGATTTCTCTATTCCAAGTTTCTAACCTTATTTCTACTCCCCACAGTTGACTCTTCTTTCTTTATTTGTTTCTATTTTTTTCCTCTTGTTATCTTCTCATTCCCCCATATGAAGGACAGAGAAGATGACAACATTGTTACTATAAGGAAGAGGTTTAATGTTTTCAAGGAATCTACACTCCCAGTTATTGAATATTACAAATCAAAGGGCAAGGTTCTAAAGGTAATTATCTTGTACTCCTACTTTAATGGTAATCCTTTGTACATTTCCCTCCTCCTCGTATTACATATCCTTGCATTTGTGGTGGAAACTGGAAATGACCCTAAAAGCTTAGACTTATTTTGCTGTCAGATTGATGCTGTCAAGCCTCCAAATGAAGTTTTTGAAGCAGTCAAAGCAGTATTCACAGATGGAAAGGTAAAGCAGCGCTGCAATGGCTTGGATAAAGTCAATATCCCTTGCTATGCATGGAGAATGATGTTTAGGAGATCGATAGTGTAATTCTGCTTGTAAGATTTGTTGCCATAAGCCCATAATAATAGTTGCATTACCATTCTGTAAATTTGTTGCAGATAAATTGTTGTTATACAAATATGATACCGTTTTCTGCAATGGTATCAAGAACCAATGCCAGCCTGCCTTCTATCCTCTCATTCTTCCTAGGCTCATATGATATTGCAAATACATCAGCATCCTTGGATCGATCAGCAATCAGCCTGCCTATAACCTTGGCCGCGTTGTTGTCAATGAGCGATGGCAGTGTAGTCCTAAGGTCCTTGGCATTCGTAGTAGCCACTGATATCACCTTGCTGGTTGGTCGGTGTACCACTTTGGCATGGATAAAACGTTTTGAAAAGAAAACGTCCAGTAAAAATGGTCTCATATACATATCTGTCTTCTGTTTCCATGACTTCCGACTAGGTCTCTTTTCAGCTTCACTCCGTGATCTCCTTGTGTAGGCAGCTGCAACAATAACATTCTACATATATACACAAATATCAGTTTTAAGCTCCAGAACAGCTAACACTCTAGACATGTATACACAAATATAAGCATCAGTGAAGCATTTTTAAGTTCCAGATTTAGACAAACAAGACACATCCCCTATTTGGTTACACCCCAAAGCTACAGTCAAGGATTAACTTATTAGGGGCAACCCGGCCGAGTTGGTCGAGCAATTGGCTTAATAACCACAAAGTTCTAAATTCGACTTCTTGTGAGAATTGCCTATTGGCCTTCTTGGTTTGAACCGATCAGCTATGGACAATCTAAGTTATGTCCTTTGCCAGCTAGGATCATAAGGCGAGTTTCATCCATAGCGTACCTTCGGGTAGCGGCTAGGAGATTTCTCGTAAATAAAAAAAAGGATTAACTTATTAGTTTCAATTACAAGACACCATCAGAACATATAACCCATTGATACACATGTTAGACTGCTCCAAAGATGCCTATGCCACACACAACATTTTGGGCTTTTGGCATCCAAATCAGATTGAATGGTCTGATATTGACTCCAAAATACTTGTTTTTGCATGCTTCAGCATCCTATTCTGGCTAAGTAATCACTAATTTTCTTTGTTCCTCAATAGAGAAGTTCTACCAACTTCTGTAATCTAGAAGGTTGAAATTCATACCAAAATGTTGGAGAAAATTTGAAGCTTAAATGAAATAATGACCAAAGTACTGTTCAATTTCACATTGGAAATTTTTTCAACTAACATTCTTCAATGTGAAATTAATAGTACTATCCTGATTGCAGATAATTACACTAATAATAATCTTAAAAACACTATTTTTCTGCAAGAAATTCGTCATAAAATTGTAGATTAACAGTTCAACGAGCTGTTACAGTTTACAGTTCAAGCAAATGGTGGATTCTGAAGTTCTGAATTCTGATACACAAGGCTTTCCATTACTCTAGGGAAGAAACAGAAGAAGAGAAGAGAAGATACCTGTTTAAGCGAGGGGTTTCGACGGCACGGGGAGAAAGACGTAGAGATTTTCAGCTGCGGGAAGGACGAAGACCACGAGAGAGAATCTGGTTTCTCTCTCTTCCCGTTAGCGCAAAACTCAGAGGAGAGAGAGAAAGATGGATGTGAAGACGTTAACGACAAGCAGACTGCCATTTTTGCTTCGAGGAAACAATGGAGATTTTCAGCTTTCTGAAGAAGATGATGATAAAAGTTGTGGACTTCTGATTTTGGGCCTTCGGCACTTCAATATTGGGCCATAGCTTAAGCCCATTATCATATGTTAAGCCCGCCCATTATGGTCCGTCAAGTGAAATTTTAATCGGACGATTTATATTTACTCCCTCCTAAACCAAATCTCACCTTCTAATTGGCGGGAAATATATCTAAGATATTCTCCGATTATTATGCAGTGTTGCACGAAGAACATTGAGGATTGACGATCGGTGAGGAGAAGATCTAGCAGGGAATAGCAGCGAGAAAGGGGTTTTACTTGGAAAATGCCTCCGAGGAAGAGAGCGAATGCCGGGGGATCTAAGAAATCGAGCCATCAGAATCAGCAGCAGGCGGCGGCGGCGCCGCAGCAGCAGCAGCAACCGTCTCAGCCGACAAAGTTCGGAATCCAGCATTTCTTCGAACGGCACACGCAGAATGTCCTCTCTCAGAAATCCAAGGCTAGACTTGATTCACGCAGTTCGGGTTCGGAAACTTCCGCTGCAAATCCTAGTGTTCAGGGCCATAGGAATGATAGTATTTCTATTCCTGAGAACTCTGTAATTGCTCCTGACTCCATGACGAATTTGAGGAATGTTGGACTGCCTAATGATGCTTCTATAATGAGAAGCAGTAGGGATTTGATGGAATCGAAAAAAATGCATATGAACAGTGCTGCTCCGGCGCCTCAGGGTGCGGGCAGTGAGCCTGAGCTGCGTAATACTGTGGTTCAAATTCATAGTAACAGTTGTCAAAGGTTAGGGAAGGATTTGAGCTCAAGGATCGTTGAAATGGAAAATTCGAAAAATACTGCAAGTTTACTAGGAAGCGAGTCCAATAATTCATCTCAGAATACGCCCACACACAATGCGCTACCTGTGGTAGTTGGAGATGATGCTAATGAAGCAGCAGAGGTGACACCTGAGGTTTGCAAATCAGCGTCTGTAAAGAGATTCAAGTTTTCTCCAGGGATGGTAATAAGCCTTCTTTCTCATGCAATGCTCATTTTCTTTCGAGAAACGTGAACTTGTAGAACGAATATAGTACCCGCATCAGATTATCAACAATATGAAAATTTCGTCACCAGTAACTGGATTTTAGGTTTTAGTCATCTGTTCCAGGCTTTGCCTAGTCTAGTAACAACCAAGTTCATATATGCACAAGGGGCATTCGGGATTTGAAAAGTAGGAAATAGTGGTGTTTGTATTGGATCTCATAGTTTTCCATGTATGATGTTTTAGGAAACAGAGATGCTTGTAAAAGTTTCAGTGATTACTTATCATCATGAACCAAGGTCGTAGAAAAAGGACTTATGTGAATAAGATTGCTAGTGCTGCATAGTAATAGTTGTTAAAGTTGCTTAAAAATAAATTAGTTCGTGATCTAAAATTTGTTATGTTCTGCGTGATAGTTGATAAAGCAAAGCCAGGATGATGGAGGTGATGAGATTACTTGGAGAATATCTCCGGTAAATGAACGATTGAATGCTCTGTCAAAACCAGAGAAGCTACCGGTACTGGCAGATCGTTCACGGTTAAACTTGTTGAATTTTCAGCAGTGTTCACAGAAAAAGGTGTATCTCAGGTTTATATTAATTTATGTTTGTAGTGAGTAGTGATGTTAATGTGATCTTTTTTCTCAAAATTTTGCATCAATGTGATGAATTGTAAATGATAGGTCAAGAAGACTTCTCCACAACCATCAGGCAAAGTTCAAAGTTGGCTATCTTCACCTCCACCACAAAAAGCTGAAAATTCTCTGGTACACCCAAATAAAACCACAGTGACCTCTGTCAATGTGGATCAAGTTATTGAAACCCATGCTAAGAATGGAAAAACAAATGGGGAGAAGAACTCTGCCATAGCTAACAGTCAGAGTCCTTTTAAGACACCTCCATCTCTAACATATTGCAATGATAAGGTAATCTAGTTATTCCTATTATTTGTGGATCCTCTTGCAAATAGTGTTTATCTTAGCTGACCCTAACTAGTGAGAATGAATTGGGCTGATTTGATGATATATCATAAATGACAGTCTGGCAAGGGTTCTGATGCCAATGAAGTATCTGATCTGCTTGGCTCAAAACACAACAAAAAGGTATTAAAAAAAAATTAAAAAAAATGCAACCATCATTATGAACATACTCTAATCTTTGTTCAGTATTAGCTATTGATTGCACCTCTATCCCTACACCTGCAATTCAGAGTCCCATATAATAATTTGCATATGTTGTCTCCTTATCTTCTTAGGCACTAATTGAACTTTTGGATCAAGTAGAAGATGTAATATCTGTTGAATCATCAGTAAGTGAGGACAACAAGATATCCTCTGGAAATGATCTGCATGTCAGATCTGATCCTGTTTTACCAGAAGCAAGAAGCAACTTAAGAGAAACTTCACTCTTATTTCTTGTACTGGAGGTGAGTGGAAATACTTCTTCACCTAGTGTTCCTATATGAGAAAGATGAGGATTTATTGAACTGCACTAAGTTGCATCATATTTCTGCTATATAGGTTTCTGAAAAGCATGGACATCTTGAGTCCTCTGGTTCAAAATGCTCAGTTAAGGTTTGATCATTTTCCATGTCAATTTCTCTAGAAGTTTCTGGAAGAAACTGGTAAACTGAATTACGTGACTATGACTTTTAGGTTTTGCGCCTTTTCAATGAACAAAGTGGGGAAGAGCGAGTTGTGCAATTGTGGGATGAATGGTAATGAGTTTCATGCTGTTTCATTTTAACTCCTTACCCCTTAGACATCAATGTCTTTTAAATAGATAAGAGTGACTACTTATTTCATTACTCTTATAGTAGGGCTCACTCTGATATATAACAATGAAAAGAGGGTGAACTTTGTTGAGTTTGACCTTTTGTAAGCACACCTTGATGCCTTTTTCTCTTAATAAAGTCATTGCCTCATCAAAAATAAATAAATGTATAAGAAAAAAAGGGATGAATTTTGCTGAGATGAATAGATGATAACATAGTCTCACTTCTATTACTTAATCAGTTGAGTTGCTTCATTCTTATTTATGTCCTGGACTTACTATATATCCCTCAAAATCTTGTGGTCAGTCTGGATCCAAATTATAACTGAAATCTTGATATTAGTGTAATGGTCCATTCTCTTTGCTTGCAGGTTCTATAGTGTTGTTGCACCTGGAGATACTGTTCATGTCATAGGAGAATTTGATGACAAAGGGACATGTGATGTTAATCATGAGAAGAATTTTCTAATTGTTCATCCAGATATATTGGCTTCCGGGACACGGGTATTTGAAACAAACAATTTCCACCTGCCTGAACCTGAATTCATATGTAGTCATCTATGTAATTAGTGTGGCTGTATCTCATCTTGATGTGCTCCTTGCTGTACATCCTAAAAGCTCTTTCTGTCATTAATTGGGTATTCCATTTATTAGTCTATAGAGTTTATTCCCTATATTATGACTCTACAGGTTGCTGGAAGTTTCAGTTGCTCAAGGCGTGCCGTCCTGGATGAGAGGCTAAAGTTTAGTGAATATTCAGCTGCAGCACTGATTGGAACCCTATTGCATCAGATTTTTCAGGTTTGATAATAGAAAAATTCACGTGGTTATGTATGATCTGTCAAAAAGCACATTGTCCTTGGGTTTGAGGAGTTAATTAAAAATGTTATAGACCATTGCTTTTTTCTCTCCAGGCAGGACTTATCAGAGAAACCCCTACAAAAGAATACCTGGAGGAACACGCACAAGTTTTGCTTCACAAAAACCTTGAGAGCCTATATGCTTGCAAAGGTGGAAACTGATTTGCTTTTTTCTCCAATTCCTCATTTCTTATTAGCAGCCATGGGGGTCCATTAAATTGGGTTCCATTATGTCTTATGAATTATTGGTCCTTTAGGCCACATACCTTAGTATTCTGTATTACTAAATCCAGTAAAACATTATTTGTGTCTATATTTACTTATTTCTCAACTCTTACTCTGTATATATTGCAGTCAGTGAAAATGAGTTCCATAAAATATTGATTGAGGCAATTCCAAAAATATTGAATTGGATACATCTCTTCCGTGATTCAGAGGTAAATGTATCTTTGTACTTATGATATTAATAGACCAATTTGTTTCGAAGTGCTCAATGTTGAGGTCATTTTGATGGACTATTTTTGGGTAGACCACGAGTTGTCCTTGGTAGGCCCTAACTGTTTAACTTAGAAAGTGCAAACTTTTTTGAAGTCTATGTATCGGGCTGAATTTCTGTAGTTGGTGGAAAAACAATAATTCCATTGCATAATTTGTAGGAATTTGTATGAATGCCTTACTTCAAAGTTTACCAATGAAATAGTATAAAAACATGCAAAAGATGTCTGTTAAACACTTTTTTATTTCAATTAATACCGGAATGTTTAATTTTTCCCATGTGCTAAAACATATTTCCAAAATGGTTTACTTTTATAAATTCTTCTAGGGTTCCAAAATACAAAATATTGGTTTGGGAAGTGAAGTCAGAGATAAAAAGATCAAAATATTGGAGGTAAATCATTTCATCTTGCTTTCTCTTATTTCTTGTTCTTATTATTATCTGTATGTATGTGTTGACCAAATATATTATGGTTCTCCTCTAGTTAGTAGTGCTTACAATAAAATCCATGATTCCTAAGGTACTCTTGACCCTTCACATTAAGGGTGTAATTGAGCCAAGTTGGTTCTGAGCACTACAAGCTCAAAACTTGGTTCAAAGGCTTGATTATGACAATAACTTATAGGATTTATTTTTATATTTTAATTTTTTTTTTTTTTATAAATATATAAAAATATAGAAGTTTGATTACGCTTGTGAGCCAGCTTGGAACGAGTATTAAAAAACTTGAATTTGACTAAACTTATTATTTGAGCTGCTTGTAATCAACTTGGCTCAACTGTGACCAAATCAAATTTGAGTTTAAATAGCTCATGATTAGCTTGACTTGTTTAGACGCCTACTTCATATGCACAAAGGACTTTTCTATTTAA